CAATCACCATCTCAGCACACCTTGGGGGCAGGGCTGGCATGGCAGGCCTGGGGTTGGAACCCAGGCCCCTGTGCCTGCTTGCAGGCACTTTAATTCTCTGAGCTATTTGGCAGGCCCAAACTAAGAAAAACTGGAACAAAGTTTTTGTAAATGAGGGCCAGCCAAATAGCTCAGTGGATATAAAGTGCCTGCTTAGGCAGATACAGGGACCAGGATTCCATCTCCAGAGTGCCTTGCTGGGCACGCCTCCAGGGTGCCCTAAGAGGGTGATTGAGACTGGGCGTAGTGGCACAAGCCTGTAATTCCAGCGCTTGGGAGGCTGAAAACAGGAGGGTCACCGCAAGTCGGATCTGTGTAGTGAGATGCTCTAGACCCTGCACTAAATACATTAAAACAAAAACAAAAACAAAAATAGAAACAGAAAAACCTTTTGTAAATGGGGAAAGGAAGAGGGGTTGAAAGGAGGTAGAGAAATGGGGGAAAAAGATAATGAAGTAATTGTTATATCATGTACAGGTACAATTCTCTGTATAAATGTGATCATTATGTATATCTCATATGTGCCAATGGCTGGGGATGGTGGCGCACGCCTGTGATCCCAGCAGTCAGGAGGCTGAGGTAGGAGAATTGTACTGACTTTGAGGCCAATCTAAGCTATCTAAGTGAGTTCAAGACCAGCTTGGACTGCATAGTGAAATCCTGTCTCAAAAAAAAAAAAAAAAGTACCAATAAGATCTGATTGAAGGGCGGGGGAGATGGCTCAGTAGAATAAACACTTTCCTGGCAAGCACAAGGGTCTGAGTTCAATCTCTGGTTCTGCCTAAAACAAAACAAAACAAAACAAAACAAAACAAAACAAAACAAAACAAAAAAAGAGATCTGATTGAAGAAAAGGAAAAAAAGAATAATTCATCCTATCAAACCTAAAGCCATGGATGCATCTTTCATCATGCCTCTCATAAAGGATCTAAGAAGGGAAAAAGGATTCTCATCTTTCTCCTAATGAATAGTTGACAATGTAAAAAAAATTGAAGAGCTTAGTTTTCATTCTTCATAAACCAGGTATCTCCTCTGCCAATCTTCTGTCTGGTTTGTAGGATAATAGGGATCTTGGGTAGCGGGTGCTTGGGCTCCAGCAGGAACTGGCTGTTCCTCTGGCTGCCTATCTTCTGGTCTTCTAAAATTATAATATAGGGGACGGGGAGATGGCTCAGTGGAATAAGTGCTTCCCTGGCAAGCACAATGGCCTGAGTTCAATCCTCAGTTCCTCAAAAAATAAATAAATAAATAAAT